CAATAAGAATAAATACAGTACACAGCTGTACAGAATAGAATAAAATAATATACTATATACAGTAGAATAAAATAGAATAAAAATATACAATAAGATAAAAATAGAATACGAATGCTATATACAACTGAGTAAAAATACAACGATGCCAGAAAAGATTATTGCACTTAGTGTTATTGAGTCTGTTTAATCCTTTTGTTTGGTGGCATGGTTCTGTCAGACCTCTGTCACAGAGAAAAACTCACTGAATCAGATAGTGAGATGGTCCAGTCGTCTGATAGGTGAGCCACAGTCTTGTTTAGCCTCCCTGTACTCTAAGCAGGTACAGAGGATGGCTTTATCAATACTTAAAAATGGTTCCCATCCGCTAAGGGGTGCATTTCAGCTTCTTCCCTCAGGACGGAGGTTTCTATTTCCGAGATGCAGGACAAAGCGTTATAAAAACAGCTTTGTCCCCGTTGCTGTCACTGAATTAAATAAGAACTGTTTTTGATTCGAAATATTAAATTACTATATATGTGCCACAGTGAGGTTTATATCTTTATTAGGTCTGTGTGTTTTTGAAGGGATGCCAAATGCTGTCATTTTTTCTGTAAAGCAAATTTAGCTATGGGTATGAATAAAGTTACCTTGACACCACACCGCCCTTGGTCACACATAGGCTTAGATTTCTTCACCGTCTCCCTGCCTCTTCGGGGAGGAATGTCATTCTCACCATCGTAGAGAGGTTCTCTAAATCAGCACAGTTCATTGTACTAGAAAAATTGCCCACTGCCATAGAATATGCTCAGCTATTAGTCGATCATGTTTTCAGACTCCACGGCATCTCTCAGGAAATAGTTTCAGATCGAGGTCCCCGATTCACTTCACAAGTTTGGAAAGCATTCTGCACAGCTCTGGGCGCCAGAGTCAATCTGAGCTCTGGGTACCACCCACAAACCAACAGCCAAACAGAAAGGCTAAATCAGTGCGTGCTGTCACATAACCCCTTGTCCTGGTCCACCCTGTTATCATGGATTGAGTACACACATAATTCACTTACCGCTTCTGCTACTGGTCTGATCCTGTAATAAATGCATGAACGAGTTTTTCAGCGTCACTCTGAGACAGGATATTTCTAACTTTAGAGATGTTGCACAAATGGAAGAAAGCAGTCTTACATATTTGTTTAATATGTGCGTTGAAGGACATGTCCTGGTCAAACATGACTCCAAGGTTCCTCACAGTGTTACTGGAGGCCAAGGTAATGCCATCCAGAGTCAGGTACTTCTGATTAGAGACCTTAGTTTTCACAGGAGCTACAGTATCCAGAGTCGTACGTAGTGAGGAGGTGAAATTATTAACAAGATAATCGACCTCTGTTGGAGCAGCGTTCAGATAGCTGCTCTGCTCTGTGTTGGTACAGGGCATTGAAGACGATAACAGTGGGTGGATTATATTCTTAAACTTAGTTACAGCGCTTTCAGAAAGACATCTACTGTGATAAAGTCTACTCTCCACTGCTGTGTAATCAATTATTGTAAATGTAAATGTTATCAGGAAATGATCAGACAGGAGAGGGTTTTCAGGAAACACTGTTAAATGTTCAGTTTCTATGCCATATGTTAAAACAAGATCTAGAGTGTGATTACAGTGGTGGGTGGGTTCTTTTACATGTTGAGAGAAGCCAATTGAGTCTAATAACAGATTAAATGCCATGTTGAGGCTGTTATTTTTAGCATCTACATGGATGTATGGATGGATTCAGAATTTGGATTTCGTCCACTATCACTGCCTTTCACCTGCCCAACGTTTGCTTCGGAGCTCTGGATTTGCAGCTCGGACCATTCCTGCTACAAAACCACTCACTCGGGTTAACGACTCCTCCTCCCAACGGGAAAAATGCCTATATGGGGTTTGGTTGAAAGGGCAGCTGCCTACACAGAGAAGCCCAGACCTCCCTCTCCCCAGCCTATACAGGGGAACACTGTTGCATTCGGACATCTTCGGACACCTGTTGGGACATCTCGCCCACTAGGTGCGCAGGTGGCATTCTTATGAGATGCCCAGACCACCTTAAATGGTTCCTTTTGATGTGGAGGAGTAGCAGTTTTACTCTAAGGAATCCATCGACCCTCTGGAGAAAGCCATTTCCACCACTTGTATCCACGATCTCATCCGTTCCGTCACTACTCAAAACTAATGACCACAGGTGAGGGTAAGGCTTAGGGGCAACAACTCATCACCGATTGGGAATGGGCACACCAACCTTTTCTTGCTGAGGACCCATAGCTTCTGAAGGGGCTGATTCTCATTCCTACCATTTCACACTCCACTATGAGCCAGTGCAAGCTAGAACACATCACCTATAAAAATCACAGATGAGATTATACGGCCACCAAAGTGAAAATCTTTAAAAATACTGGTGGTCGCCTGTAGATACGCCTATGGTGTCAATTTCAAAATTGCCTTGCTCTTGAGCTATTCCTTTCACAAACTTGGGTGTCCACACTGAACGCCCTCCTTTTACACCTGAGCAGTAAAAACTGCATTTTGTATTTACTTGGTTCATCTTTGTCTGATATTAAGATTTGTTCGATTAGCTTGCCTGAACAGCAGGACCGTCACATTTTCCATCAGATGAGTCACTGAGTGGTGACGACGGAGTGTGCCTGTGCTGATCCCGCCTGAAAGAAGAGTGACCTAACGAGCTGCTATGCTCATGATGTAATGTGTGTATATGCTATGTGTTGGGCAAAATACTGAACAATGAATGACTCTGAATTCCTCTGTTTTGTATATTAGTGTGTGATTTTAAGTAGTATGTATAGAATAATGCTAATGACTGGCTATCCTTACTGTGAAGCAGTATGAGTGGTCAGAAAGACTAGAAAGTGAAATTTAATGTCAGTGTTCTTACTGCAGTGGTGTGGAGCTTCATTTTGAATTTTTCAAGGTAAAGCCAGTGTTTGGATTCGCTGGGGTCCAGGTCGTGATAGAAGTCACGAGCCGCATAACCAAAACTGTGGAACTTCCTGTCTGGAGTGAGAAGGATGGTGGTCGGTGTCTTCTGATTGGATACGCCTGGGTCCCCACCCTCCCAACGCCTGGAAAAAAACGACAGTTATCAATATATGTGCAGTAAATCTGCTTTTAAGTGAATACAGCAGCTAAACTTGTTAACGATTGTCACAGATGTTGGGTAAGGACTGATTATCCAGGAAGAATTAAGCATCATTCCACAACTCACGGCAAACTTGTAAATAAACCTTTAACTCGTTCTTTGAGTTCTCTGAGGCCTTATGAACCCACTGGCTCACTCACATCCCGGCACGTATGGACAAACAGAGGACTTCTATTATTAGGGCCCTATTGTTCCTGCGCCTCTAAACCTTAAAGTGTGAAGGCCCTGTTGTAATCACTGTTTTATTTTCTGTCTTTCACTGCCTTTTTGAAGGATTTAACATGCTGACAAACTCATTAAAATTTGCACATGCCTCACACCTGTTCAAAGTTTTTTTTATTATAAGTTACGATCTTGCCATAACCAGCCACTGTACTTTTGGGATTTTATCGGCTTCATATTTGGTCAGTCTAAACCACAGCCCCTGAACACATTTCAACTGATTTATTTGACAGAGGGCACAGCGCCACCTAGTGGGAACATGAAATGCCATGTTTTACACTTCGGGGTACAGTTTTGAGGTGGTTGACCCCAGCAACTTGAAATTTGTCCAGGAAAGCCTTAAGGAGTTGGTCTTTGGTCACATGTTTTCATCAGACTTTTGATGCACTTCTCCTCCAAGGTTGAGCCCATCCACCTCAAAATCACACAAAACAAGCAGAATGCGAACACTTATCGTTTCCACAATTGCTTTCTTTAGTATTTTTAGACCTCTTTCCCTGTTTTAGTAAAGCCAGTGACTCTAGTCTCTCCCCTAGACCTGTGATTAATTGTCCTGAGGAAAAGATTAAATAAACCTTGCATTCCTGTGAACCTTCCCATCTCTTCAGTCTGCTTTTGGCTCCGCCTTTTCCCCTTTGGCCTTCGGACATATCCAAGCTAAACGCTTACAGGTGTTTTCATTTTCCTTTATATAATTTGCCTGCAGCGACTGGTTCTACCGGAGGACCAGCAGAATTTGGGCACAAGTACAGATCACACATTTTAAAATGGCAAATTTCCTGCTGTTTGTAAATGCCAGCAGGCAGTGTTGGAGCAGCTTGGAAAAATAAATGCAATCCCTGGTGACGACGAGTCTAGACAAAGGGCTGTTCAGCTGTTACGGCTCTCGTAATACATGCATACCGTTTTAAACAATACAATAATTATTGTGTCTCTAAGTCAAGGACTTTAGAGGTTTTATGGTCATTCCAACACATGTCCTCAAAGTTTTTTTATTTTTTTATTTTTAGTTTTCACAAAATGGATTTTATTGGTGTTTTCGTACGATTTTTAAGAGCCAGAAAAAAAATAAATCTTTCGTATCTCTTTGTGTAATAAGCAAAGTTGTGGTTATGACTTCACAGTAGCCTATTTAATCTTTTTTAGTCAGAACACCAACAAAAAGTCTGCCCGTACTCACTCGAGCCTCCCCTCACATGATGGTAATGTCACGTGTGATATAGGATTTCTTCTGTACTGTTTTGTTCGACCTCTGTGTATTCAGTAACACATACTGAATTATGTGGTAAACAAGCCAAAATATGTTTTGTATCTGATTCCCAAAAGTGATCACTGCTTCCAGTTTACCTCATTAAAGGCTGCGTCTTCTCTGTTTAATTCAATTAAATTCAACAAACAGCTCTATTCAAATACTAATAGCTTAATACTTAGTAATATTAATTACTTAAAGCAAGAATAACATAATCAAATAAAAACAGAACTTGAACAGAAATCACAGTTTACAGCTACCCAAGGACAAGATCAGGAAGCCCATAAAAGTTCAAGAGCTGTGAAAAAAAATCCTTTCAGGCTAAAAGATGCAGAAGATATTTAACATTTCAAAATGAACTTAATATATCAAAATGTTTTTGCCTTTGTGAATGTTTTATCTGAACTTTTAACTATTTATCAAGTTTTGGGATTTATCCTCTTTCACGTACAGCTCTCTTATTTCTTTCTTTTTGGGTAATTTTGAGGGACATTCAACACAAATCTTTGTATCAAACTGAAGACATTTCAGGGTGTTGTTGTGGAGTTACGACCCCACCATCATCACAACAAAACTCCTTGTATTGTTACTTTTAATATTTCATTAACACACAATGAAAAGCAAGAATTCATTATGTCTTAGTTTTCCATGGCTTTGCTTTAAAGCTGACAATCCAGCATCCAGAAACATTTATAACTTTCTAATATGAAGCTGTGCTTCTAAAGCTTTAAGCGTCCTAAAAGATGCACGCGTAGAATTATTTGAAAATCCTAGGTGACTTCCTGCCTAAGCTGTCACAGTCACAAGATTTTCAGAGAACATAACCTCTGACCTTGACCTCGAGTACAAGACTCATCCAAGACCTGGTAGGGTCTCCCCAAGACAAATTGGTCTTGGGTGAGAAGTTTTCATAGGAAGCTGAAAGTCACTCATCCAAGCGACTTCCAGTGTTCCTCTCTCTCCAGGACGTGTACATCCTTATCACTAAAAGACTGGCCACTGAAGAAGTCACTTTGCTGAGTGATGAAACGTTTCTCCCAGATGCACAGAACTGAGCATCAAGACACCTGGTGGTGCGTTGGATCAGGTAGTGGGGGCGAGTCCTGGACAGACCGAGCGTAGTATGCCTAAACGTACAGTGATGGTATCATAAGGAGATCTGGAGCGGTGTCTCTGGACTGACAGACTGGGGTGATAGTTCCTATCTTTGAATAAGGGCCCAGAGTATGTGCTCCAACTCCAGGGGACAACACGCTAAGCCTCTCTGAGAACAGTCTATGCCAAGGTGCAGAGTTTGTTTGACCTTGGATACAAGAGGAACAATGCAGTTTCCATTCTGGAACGTTGGGCCAGTTCTAAATGATATTTGAGGGGGATTCCCCAACTTGTCTACATGTGTTTTGTTAATATGGAGAAGGCATTCGACAACATCCCTCAGAGTATCCTGGGGGGGGGGTGCTTTGGGAGTATGGGATGGCCCGCACGTTGCTACGATCCCTGTACAATGTTCCCAGTCTTTCCAGTCTGTCTTGTTGAGGAGGGCACAAATAGTTAGCTGTCAATTACAGAGCACAAGCATTCGAGCTTTGTATAGTGACGGAAAGACAGAGATCATGGATACAAGCAGCAAATTTTCTCTGAAGGGTGGCTGGATTCTCCCTTGGAGAGAGAGTGAGGGGCTCAGAGTAGAGCCGCTGCTCCTCCACATGAAAAGGAGCCAGTTCAGGTGGTTTGGGCACCAACATGAAAATCCTAGGTGACTTCCTGTCTAAGTTATCACCTCGAGGTCAGACATGAATATATACATATACATCTGTATATTAGGACTGAGCGTTACTAGTCAACTAACCAACTAATCGGCACAATTGTTGTCACAGTCCTGGTTCGGTGACCCAGTGTTTTTGGGTTTTGTACTTTTACTTTTGATGTTATTATGAATTATGAGTGTTTGTGTTTTGGTTTCTGTCCCAGTATTTCTAGCTCATAGTTTTGTAGAACTGCTGAGTCCTTGTTTTTAGGTTTTGTTATTTGGTTTCCCAGAGTTACTCTGTGCTCACACTTCTCCGTGTTCCCTCCGTCTGTCCATGGTGTCACTCTGCTTGTGAATCTGTTAAGTTCAGTGTCTTGTCTGGCTCTGTGAGTTTCCTGTTTTATTCTGAAGGTCTCTGTCTCATGTGAGTGTGTTTGGTACGTTTCCCCTGTCTCGTCAGCTCTGACTTCTCCCAGCTGTGTTGCCCTCCTGTCTCCCATCCCTTGATTACTGCTGTGTGTATTTACGCCCTGTGTGTTCTCCAGCCTGTTGCCGGTTCGTCTGCCTTATTTCCCTCCGTCAACCTGTGTATCTGTGTGTTCCTATGTTTTTCTCCTCGGGTCTCCAGTTGACGTTTCAAGTTTGTTTTGTTGGTTTTTTCCAGTTTAGGTTTTGCTTAGTTTCCTCCACGCCTTTGCCGTTTCTGTTTGTATCTCCACCTTCAATAAAATTCCCCTGCATCTCAGCTGCCAGCATCTTGGGTCCACACGGCTCATCCCGCGAGCCGTGACAGTACAAACCGACCAGCCCGCCGGAGGACGTTCTGTCCGGCCCGTCGGTCCAGCCTTCAAAAGGGAAGCGGCGATCATGCCGACGCCCTTCGCCTCAGCTAGACCCGGAGACTTCTGAATTGCTGGCTGTGGTGAGCGAAAGAGACGTTAATCATGGGTTTTCTGACTTTGGGACTATTTACTCCGGGGCCGTACCCAGCAGCATTCAGCTCAGTCTTCAGTTCTGTCGCCCTCTCAGCCATCCATTATCTCTATGCAGGGAGAAAATCTCATTCCCACCCAGGGTGTTTCTCACAGTTTAGCTGCTTTAGGTACAGTTATTCACTCCAGGGCCTCCCCAGAGGCTAGGTAGCCCCCGAGGAACTGCACGCGGTGTCAGCGCTGCCTGGGCGGAGCCCTGCGCAGCTCCAGTTACCTCTGTGCCTGCCAGAGGTCTCCGCACACAGTCTCACAGATTAAAGTCCAACAGGCAAACAGAAGCACTGTTTTTACCTTTATGCTGGATGTTCATCATGCGCAATCGATTAAACATTAAAAAGTAACTTTAGGTTAATATTCTTCCTTCTTTTGTCTGTTTTGCTGACACTTTTCTGTGTCACATGTCCAATTAGCTACATTTAGTTTTCATTTGCCTGCCAGAACATCTTCCTTCAGCCTTGGTGATAAAAGACTGTTTTTAATTTTTGTTCACAGCCGAACTGATCAAGTTCAGTGCACCACCAGCCCACCATCACATTCCACCTCAGTTTCCACTGCAGTGTCAGCCTACCTCATGGTGTGAATGCACTCTGGTTCCTTAGCAAAGGCGTAAGCATAACCGCTGGATGTGGTGCCAAAGTCAATGGCAACTACGACCACGAAGGACGGCCCTGACGGTACCTGGTCTGTATCATTCTGCTGTGCACAAAGAGGAACAGACAGTTTGATGGTGTTAGGACATATGATGAGTTCAAAACAACCAATCAGCATATGCAAATAAAAAATAACAACATCAAAATGGTAAAGTGATATCACAGGTGAGTAAATATCTGCAGGATGTTCAGTGTTCACTTTGAATGGCACCGTGATGATGGAGACTGCAGGTTTATTTCTGCATTTACTCAGTCTTGGTGTCCTGCTGTTATGTAACATATATGAGTGAAGAGCAGACTGTCTCTACCTAACAGTTTGTAAGGACTTTGCTGTTACTGCTGTAGGATATGTTAAATAGATCATGACCCTCCAATGCCAGGTGTTGTGGCACTCAAGCATGATACAAAGGTAATCAGATTACCAGAATGAGAAGAAACGTGTCAGATCACACTCGTCCTGCAGGAACAATAATTACAAACATGAACACATGAGTCACCTGAGTGTGTGAAGGAGAGAGAGGTGTAATTCCAGGGTCGCCCATGCTCTTTGCTGGAGAAGGATCAGCCATTGCATCTGTACATGAAGACAGCAAAGGATTTATTATGCAGTCCTACGATGCAGTTCACTTTCTATTGAGTATTTATATAAAGTTGCACGCTGTCGTGTCATTTTTAAAGCATGTCTTTATTTGAACATCAGTAGGAAATTTATTCCTTTTACACGTTTTCATTTTATGCACCTTCTTTTTATGCCGTGCATTTGTGCAGCTGTAAGCTTTTGCTACTGTGTAGTGAACAAGGACTACAGATCTGCAGGTCATCATTTATACATCTATATGCAGTGTTGGGGAGTAACAGAACACATGTACCGGTGTTACGTATGTAAAATACAATATGAGTAACTGTATTCTGTTAGTTTAAAGGTTACCATTTAAAAAGGTGGCATTCAGTGCCTGTGTCTCAGTCTTGTGGCCCAGGTCACCTCTACAGCCCGCATAACGACGTAAAGAAATATTTGAAGCATGTAAATATAATAATAACCACTGCAGCCAAACAGAGAGCCTGACGAGCCCAGCTATTAAGACTCGACTGTACACCGTGTTCGTGTTTTCCTCTGAAATAGGGCTGCTTAATAAATCAAATTTTAATCTCGATTACGATCTGGGCTTTCAACAATCATTAAAAAGGACTGAGCCGATTATTAGCCCCTCCCTCGTGCTTTACTTGTGCTTGACAGTCTTTAAAGTCATTATTCAACACATTGTTATTGTTAAATAAATATGTCAAATAATCGAGATCTCAATTTCAGTGAAAATAATCGTGATTATCATTTTTGCCCTAATCGAGCAGCCCTACTCTGAAACAATAAGTTCTGTTGGAGTCTTTCAACGCCTCTCTCTGTTTCTCACTAGCAAAGTTGACCCAGACAACAAAGCAAAGCTAGTTTTCAGCTATGAGCCGACACGAACCCGACGTATTAGTCAGAGGTCCCTTTACTACAGTTCAGAGCCGCGGACCTGTTTTATATACGCGAGGAATAGTTTCTACACGAGATCGCTGCAAAAAGTGCAGCCTTACCTAATGTCCACCTACTGTTACTCATTTATATTAAGATCTAAACATCTAGCTGGTGTTGGTGTGGAGAGTAGCCTTCAGTAATAGTAATAAATCACACAGCAATAGCACATTCATGTAGCTGTAAAAAGCATGATAATATATTAAGTAATCCAAAGTATTCAGTTACATTACTCTCATTGAGTAACGTAACAGAATACATTACAGAATACATTTTGGGGCATGTAATCTGTAGTGGGATACATTTTGAAAGTAACCTTCCCAGCACTGTCTATATGATATAGAGCTAGTTAAATGAACATTTTTATGATAAGGGTTCATTTTCTCTCCTGCTCATCTTTTTTATCCCAAACTGAAACATTCAATGTATCTCCTTGCATCTTCTGACCTTTCACATTACCCACAAACGAGCCTCTAAGGCTGAGGCCATACGCACTCTTTTTTTAAATGTTACATTGTTGGAGACAACCATTCATTCATCTACAAAAACAACATGCACAGCATGCTTCCTGCATCAGTCGACTCCTGACTCAACCCTGCAATGCAGCCATACTCCTGTTAGGGGACAACTTTGAGATATTATTTTATTTAAAAATGACAGACTTACATTAACTTAGTAATTAGTACTTAATTAAACCTTAAAATAAACTTCCTGTTGGTTAAATAATCAACTGACAGCCACTATTAGCAGGTTTGTCCTGATCTCCATCCAGACGACACCGTAATTTAAAGGACACTGCTAACAGAAGCCTAGCTTAGCCACTGACTTAAATTAGCTCCACACTTTAAGCACAATACTACGATAAACATAACAAATTGTTATCAAGGCCAGCTGACTAAAGATTTCCATGGTCACACTGACTTTTTTCTTGAACACAAGAAGGCAATAAGGCTCTGAAACTAAGACATGCTGCTTCCATAGTTGGTAAGCACCAAAGAAATGACCCAGAACACCAAAGAAAACTGTGTTCCTGCAGAGGCTGCTGACCATGAACTCTGTAAATGGCCCAGAAGTGAAAGGATGCTGCTTTGTGGGTGTCAAACAGCCAAATGACAACATTTTCTGTGTGGAAAGTGCAGAAAATGTCTGTTACACCTGTCTTCAAAACACAATGGCATTTCAGTAGAATAGGAGATTGTCTACCCATTTGCTTCCATCATTTTCATTAGTCTGGCTTAATAACCTTCAGTGAAAGTGTTCTTTGAATGCATACAATAATAATACTCCCCAGACATATTGTAAGTGTCTGGCAGAATTGTCTCACGGCGGGACATCGTGTTATCCATCCTATTTTTCCAGCTCATTCACCCTTTTCTCTTGCCATCCCCTACAGAGTGGATGAGTGGTCTGAAGACCCATAATACACTTTGCCAGGCAATTACAGTGCAGAATTACAGACCACCTGTGGCTAGACTCCATCTAGCCACAGTCCACTCTCCCAAATCACTTTACAGCCTGGAGTTTTATTCCCAACAAAGGGTGGAAAAATCTCATCACAATTAGCAAAGTAAAGTAACGGTAATCTTATAATAAATAATATTTCAATCTTTCTGTGCCAGCAGAGTGTTCACTTCTGTTCAATGATTCATTTAATGTCTAAGGCATGTTTACGCTGAAATTCTAATTCTTCCCCTCCAGCATCCATCCGTTCTCTCATCCGTGACAATCACACAATAATTTAAGTCATCCTGCGGCAACCCTGTGTCGTCCATACAGTGATAAGACTGCTGGGTTTGTCCAACCACGTCATCATTCTTCCCCATTAATCACATTTCTATACTATCTATATGAAAACTAACGATTGAAAATATTTTAGACAAACAAACATGATGGACTGTTAGTGCACATTAAATTAAACTGCATTCAATCCACTAAAAATAATTAAAGTTCATTGAACTTTTTATAGAGTTCAAGTCGCTGAACTTTAATTCACAAATCTATCAATTTTAAGACAAAATAGAAACTAAGCTTTAAAAACAAAGTGTTATTTATTACATTTACTCTATATGATGTTCAAACCTAAGATTTCATTTTCCAAAGTAAAGGTTAAACTATTAGTCATGCCCTTATGTTTCCAAATGATCAAACAAGAAAATGCAAAAACTAACATTTAATCAACCAATTAAACAAAGAGACAAAAGTCTGGTAAATTAGTATGAAGAGTCCACACAGAGGGCACGTTGTAGTGGATGACTGGGTCAAACAAGTGACAGGGGACTGAGATTCACAGATTAGAAATGTGTTTTTAATCGTTTCATTTTGAAAATATTCT